TTCATTTACACTCCTACTCTCCTCCCAGACATCCCCTCTCCCTGGGGATTCCCACTCTAACTTCAAGCACTCAATCTCACAGTGTACTAATTTTTAGGTACTGAAGAGATCACACATCTATACATGATCACTCCAAGTTGCTGCCATGCCATCCACCTCTCTCCCTCTCCTCCTTTCCCCCTCTCCTCCTCTCCTCCTCTCCTCCTCTCCTCCTCTCTTCCCCCTTATCTGCTCTTCCTGTGGATGCCTGGCCTACTTTCACTACCCAACTGCATCTCAGATGGATCATAATGACAAAAGCACGCAATATTCATGATCTCTCCCAAGTTGCTGCCAGGCGATCCTATTCTCCCCTTCTCCTCCTCTCCTCCTCTCCTCCTCTCCTCCTCTCCTCCTCTCTCCCAACCGTCCCATTTTCTTGCGTATGCCTGAGCTTTTTATAACCGCTTTACCACATCACATAATGCCTTCTGCATAATGGCAAAGGTACACAACCACAAACTATTTAATCAATGTCCTGCCAAGCTATACCCCTCGACTCCGTCCTCCTCGCGTCCCATCCATCCCATCCATCTTCCTGCAGGTCCTACCCTCTTCACCCGAATAGAACGGCCAATGCATCATTACAGCTGCTGCTGTATTGTGGGCAACTTTCAGTCTAGATACAGCTATAATGACCGACCATCCTATTCGGCGGAAGGCGGTCGCAAGGGACCACAAGCTCGCTGAGTCGAGCTGTTGATGATCTGTAAATTTTGAGTAAGTGGGTGTGAACTTTGCCATTCTGCCGGGCCGGAATGAATGACTGGAAACTTGGCGAAAAAAAAAGATCACCAGCTCCACCACCAGCTCCTCCTGGATCTGCAGTCGCAGGTTTTTTTTTTTTTTGTTTTTTTGTTTTGTTTTGTTTTTGGTGTCTGTTGCAGTTGGAGTTGTTTTCTAGAAGTGAGCAGACAAAGAGACCTGAATGAACTGTCTGTCATTCGATACAAACACAGCTGCGTAAGAACAGACACTGGTGCAGGCACTTGTGGAGGATCCGCTTCCCGATGGCCACTCTGTTCGCCAATAACAAGATCGAAGCAATGTACCTACCCGCGTAGAAACCACCCGTGATAAGGGTACCCTTACGCCGCTGACCATACCAGGGAGCCCTATTGTGGAGCTCCCCGGAAGGCCTTGAAGGAAATAGACGGTTCCAACCGGTGTAAACCCCTCAAACCTGGACGGATTGAAGAAGGCTTCCAGGGGGGCCCGGTTCCCTGTAGGAGATCCGGTACTTCGAATGCATGGTTGGAGGCGTAGGCGGAAGGCGGACGACATCCACGCCTCAAGTTTGCATCTTGTCAAGTTGAATGAAGGTACAACGCCACATGGGCGAGAGGGGGCTCCTCCTTGCGAGCATGCCTGACAGTTTCTGCTTGGCGAAAGGGGGTATTGTGTGCGAAAGGAGACCCCCGCCTGCCCTTCCATCCAACTGACAAAGGCGGTGACCCGAGAGTATATGCCAGGATACTTAACGTCGCCGCACGCGTCACCGAAACTGGTGACGCCAACAAGAATTGGACAGCCCCTCGACGAGGAAGAGGAGGTCGCAGGACCGCCACTGTCGCCTCCGCAACTGTCAGCCTTACCCTGTCTACAACCTGCACAAAGCATCACTCGCCTGTTGTATTTCGAACCGTAAAATCCACATCCATTAGGCAGATGGTCTACGATCACAGCCTGCAGTGTATCGCTGTAGGGAGATGCCAAGGTGTCTTGAGTTTTCCCCCACCCGCTGACGCAGATGTCTGAAGATTCGAAAAGCGCTCCTCCGTCGACCGCGAGCTTGATGGGTACAACCGTGTTGGTGATTGGGACAGGTTTGGCGAGCTTTAGCAAAGCCACATCGTTCATCAGATAGGTGGCCCCTTCACCGATTGTAAAATTTGGATGACTCCAGACTCTGGCAACATTGACTCGTTCACCCCCCCAACGGAATATAGAACCGAGTCGAACGTAAACAGCAGATGCCGGTCTCACCTCGTGGGTGTACTGATCTACCACACAGTGACCTGTTATAACATCATCACATCATAACCACAGCAACATGAGGAGACTCAGGAGAGTAATCCAGCAAACAAGTAGTTATTACCACCATACATTAAATGAAAAAGCAGATCATGGTGTCACAGTGACAGATTCAGAATCATTAGAATGGCGTTCACTAGACGATGACAAAGGGGGGGTCTGAGACTTTCTTTTCCTTTTTTTTTTTTACTATTTCTTTAGGCACTAGAGGCTAGAGGTCCTGCAGGATAATGTCGTTAAAAGTTTACAAGGAAAAAAAAAAAAAAACTGGTCGGGCAAAAGCATTTAGGATATAGTTTGTTGGGGTTGTTTCTCTTCAGCGTACCCCTCGGTGTTTGGGTTGCATAGGTAGGGGTGAATACCGCCGAGTATCCGACCAAATGACAAAAAAAGTAATGTGTCGGTGCGGACAATCAGCATGACGGAAGTCATTTGTTGATACATGAGCTTCACCCCTCAACGACCACACGCCAGACATCCCTGCTTGGGGAAGTAGATGGATGGATATCGCGCGTCCTGCTGATGACGGGCCTAGCTGGTAGGATGGGAATAGGGAACAGCAGCTGCGGAGAAAATTCCATATAGAGTCTTCATTCTTGGACACTTGCACACATTCAATAATTTTGAAAGGGGAATACATTCCGAGTTCGAATTTCACATCCCAGAAATCCCAAGTCCCCTATCCATCATCAGTTCTTTTCAGGATGAGTTTGTCCAGGTAACATCTTTCAAAGGCAGGCTGAGCGAAGATGTCGGCAACAACCTTCTTCCTCAGTTTCCCAGTAGCCACAAATAGGCTTACATCATCAATCAGCCTCACACCGACAATGTTCCTGGTTGTCTTCCCCAGGCTCTGCAGGAATAAAAATTCAGCTCTAGCACACATGATACACGCAGGCGGAGGACTAGTGCTCTTCCCCATAGGGATCCCTACTACTTGCTGCAATAGTACGCCCAAGGCCATGGTGTATGCCCAAGGCCATGGTGTATGTGTATGAGAGCTCGATAGAGACAAATTGTTGAATGTCCGCAAACTCTACCTTCTTCCAATGGTCGTAGCCCGTCGTGACCCCAAAACGAGCACCCTTACCTCTGGGTTTAACTCATACGAAGGTCCGGTGCTTTGAGGAATGATAGTCCAACAGCCAACCCATGGCATCCAGGATCTCCAGGTGTGGCAGTCGGCTGAACATATCCTTGACGTCAAAGGATTTCACAACCACTGTCGTGTCAGTGTGCGTGTGTGTCAACTTCTTGTTGTAGACGTCCGATGTTCCATTCAGATCGGAGAGAGCCCGGAGACTAAAGTGCCAATCCCAAGGGACGCAGTACAGCAGATGGTTGAGATTCCTAGCAACAATCTTACTCGTCCTAGCTGTCGGCTCTGGATACGAGGGACAAATCGGACGAAGTAACCAACGCTTCGAATGAAGAGGTCCATCATCCCTTCGTAGTATAAGGAAGGGCTCATGATCAGAGTTTCCCCTCGGTTGCGGTCCAGCGGTGTAAGGACCAAGCCTTTCAACTGGTTCTTCAATCTGAAGACCTCTTGTATATCTAGAAAACGCATCTCCTTCCCAACATCAATCTTCAAACAATCGATCAACTCAGTACTTTTTTTTTTTTTTTTTTTAACTTCAACAGTGCACAGTCTGTCCTTTTACGTTGACCCAATTTGCAAAAGCATCCTCGATTTCCTCTCCCAACTTAGTCACTCTATCCGAGCGACATGCTTTCGGGACATTATTCTTGTTCATCAACAGGCGAGGAAGGTTCTCCATATCACGTAATCAGACACGCACGTGGCCTCGTACCCGTGGGTATGGCATCCCTGCACAAGTGCAAGGTCGCACCTCCATTTGTCTGAAGGCACGATGATTGTGTGGTAAGTTCGCAACGTGCGGATTACAAATCTGAATGATGTGAAGTGATCTGCGTGCGCGCCGAATCACAGAAGGAGGGAGAACTAATCCCCCAAGTTTATTGTTACCCAGCTTCCGTACTTCAAAAATCTTAATCCGATCGTCAAATAACAAACGGACGACAATATGAGCAGACAATTTAAAGCCAAAACATCCTTCACACATTTACCAACCAGACGCCTAAGGTAAGCACGCGTGCTCTTCTTCTCAAAATCTTTAACAACATTAAACAGGCTTGATAATGAATCCAAGTCCCATCTACGCAATGATTCCAAGCGTTTGGGATTACGTAAGAGTGCGACAAGAACGGGCTTGTTGAGACTCGTACGAGCCTTCCAACGCCTCAGATAATGGAATTCAATGCAACCCGCAGTCTCGAATGCCACTTTGAATAGTCCCAAATGTCCTGCTACTCCATAATAAACAACCGAAGAGGAACCAAAGGCCTTATGTACACCCTGCCATTTGTTACACCAAGTGCTCCCTCCTTCGATAAACAACGTAAAAAAAACTCACGCACTCAGTTAACATCTTTAGTACGCAGGACATCGAAGATGTCCACTGACCAAGCATCGTCAACGTTGATGCGCACTCTAATCGGTTGAATACAACGATCCTCCGACAAGTCAGTGGTACCTACTTCCCGCTTCCCACCCCGTTCCCGTTTACCTCGACGATTATTCTTCTTACGACATGCAGTCTTCCCGACAGTATTGAGGAACGGGCTCCAATGCTTAATAAACGTAGATTCGACAAAGACGAGGTCCACTGGTTCAACAACTTCGACAGGCAGCAAAGTGAATGATTCCATGCCCACATATTTCCACCAGCGATATAAGTGCATCCTTTTAGCATTACGTCTATACACAGAAACATGCTCTCTCCACCGTATCAGAGGTGAGCGAGAGGTCTGACCGATGTATACTTACATCTAAACGAGGTAATCACATAAATGCAATTCGAGAATTCTAGGAATCTAGGCCATATCGTTGAAAGAGACGAAGCCACAAGTCGATGCATTTGTTCAGCCAACGAATACGACCACGCAAAGCTAACAACAAAATCAACAAACAAAAGATCCAGTCTAATTCGTCATGTCGGAAAGATGCAATCACATCGGAAATCAGGATCAGTTGATCATTACTAAAGTCATTTCAGGCGGTTGCGCCCTCGTCACTGTCGTCATCACCGGAGTGTTTCGCGTCTCCTTCCAAAAGGCAGCAGGAAAGCTCCGAAGTTCCGCTCCAAATCTCAACCACGCCCTTCGGTCGGCAATATCGAAGATTGTCTGGACCTTAGTGGCATAGTTGACTCCTTTGTCTCGGCAAATCGAACGCAATGTATCGTAGTCCATCTTAGATAGTTCACGCCTAGTGTTATCGAGGAAGATCATTCGCTCCATGATTACATCTGGAGCAGGACGCTTGACTGCCGTAAGGGCCTTCGCGGCAACTCCCCGTTTCCGAACACAGATCCGGGTTCTCGTGCATGGCAACCTATCGAATAGGCGGATCGGTCGAATAACCGCCCACTTGTTCGAGAGCTTCGCAGGAGTGATAATGGGGGGGCTGTCCCCCACAGGTGTCTCCACATCGCCACGCTTTCGTTTCTCCTGAGTCGACAAGCTACCGGTCCTCTTTGTAATCGCGTCCACCTCGCTAGTTGTGCCAGACGAGGAGGGCACCTCCTCCACTGCGATCTCCTTGCCTTTGCCGGCGTTGTTGACGACAGTCTTGGTTTGACTCTTGACCACCGTGCCGGCGACAGACTTGCACACTTTGATCTTGATCTCCTCTCGAATGTCTCCCAATCTTAGGGAGAGTCGCGCTTCCACAACTTTCGCCATCTTCATTTGCTCCTCTTCACGTTTACGCTACTTCTCAGCTTTACGCGCTGCTAGTTCAGCTTCGGCGACTCAACCTTCTTCTTTAGCACGTCTGGCCTCCTCCTGCTCACGCCTTCGTTGCTCCCGCGCAGTCCTGCGGGCCAGCTCCAATTCGTCCTTCCCAATTCATCAAGACAGTTCCCAAGAACAGGTTCATGAGCTGCTGCTCGTGGTTGCACTCCTTCCCTTGGAGGCGATCCGGCCGTACACCGTCAATTATACTCCGGGGGGCAGACAAAGTCATCCACCTCCATTTGTTTTCTTGCGACTGGATCCATCCAATACCGCCAACATTCAGGCGGTAATGCCGAGTAATGCGGCATCCAAAACAAGCAGGTGGTCCGCACCATGGGGGCCCGCCTCTTTGCTCCTCACGACTGCTGCTACGTTAACACTGAACCGCCTTGACCGGCTATTATCATGGTTGTTGCACCTTTCGCGTTCCGGGGAATGCGGTCTCCTGCGCTCGCAATCGCTGTCTTGGTAACGATCACCCGCCATTCTGGCGGTCCAAGTTTCTTCACTCCAACAGTAACTCGCACCTAGGAACTGCCAACTTCGTCAAAAGGACGAAGGACAAAGTCCCGGTCGTGCTCACTCACTCCTGGTAAGATGACTCCAGGAAGGTTCACACGTGCTGCTTGAGGTATATGAGAGATAAAATTCACTATAGATGATAACACAGTGAGTTTCTCATACCAGGTGATACAACCATAGATGATAACACACAGTGAGTTATTGCACCACACAGGTCATACACACGCAGATTGAAACACAGATTGCAGTAAGAATAGTACAAAATTCGGCCAACAAACTTTCCACAACACCCGTGTCCACCTTCCGACAACCCACCCACGTTCTTGCCTTGCGTTAGCCGTGGAAGACGTGGTCCGAAAGAGGACGATCCTAACTACAATCATTGCTCATGTACGCGCGGATACCGTGCTTCTTACTGCACGCGCATCCGGTAACTTAAAGTCACTTGAACGAGACGACTGCTATCCGCGTTCCGTCAGGCAAAGCCACTACAGTCCGAAGGGTCACAATGACCTGGGCTGAAAGAGGCTCATACTGCCACAGACAAATGATTGAGCCAAATACCAAGACCAAAAAAGCCACACCGCATAGCACAGGCTCTCGGGTCCTATGCTTACCCTGAAACAATTAGTACCAGGTCCAAAAATACAGCGCATAGCTTGGGTTCTGGACAACTCTAGTTTTTTTTCACTCTCCACACATCCGCCACCGAGTAGTTGCACACATCCGCACATCCGCCACCGAGTAGTGCAACTCTAGTTTTTTTTCACTCTCCACACATCCGCCACCGAGTAGTGTATTTTTCTGCATAACATAGTTTGTTTTCAACTTTTCAGTTTTCTTTTTTTTGGGGTTGCTTTTCATTGCAGGGACCTTCCCTGGTACCTTGCCCCACCTGCTCGATATGACAGCATTATATGCCTTTTTTTAATTGAAAGAAATCGGTAGGTCATTTTTTTAATGGCTCTTATTGCTTTTATTTGGCCTTTTCATGTAATTTGTTACACAATTCGTTTTTGGTAGGTACGAACGTGTTCATGAAGACCACCGCCAAACGAGGAAGGTTTGTGGATTCTGACATGCAGAGTCCGCGTTAACCGTGCCGGCTCGTCCCCAAAACCTGTGAAGTGGGCCGACGGCACCAGCCTTCTTTGGAACGATGCACTGGCATCCGGGAACTTATCCAAAAGCAATGTCCAGGTGCGCGCCTTGTTTCACCTGCATGTGCCTGTTGGGGGTTGCTGGCGAACGAGGCTGTAAGAATCGATAGGGCCTGCGTTCAAATCCGTTCAGCGCCACAGCAGTTGAGAGGGGCACACCCAACACGCAATATGAGTCCGTCTGACAAATTCTTTGTGTGGGTGTGCGTTCGTACTTGATAGGCGAGAGAGAGGACATATAGAGCTGTTTACATACGGTAACCGCGGTTGGTAGTGGTACTTGTGGTTTGGTTGCCCGTACGGGGGGCTCGTTCAGGGTTAGGCTTTCTGAGACACACAGGGTTGTCGTCTCCTTGAAAGTTTTTTGCAGGTAGGGGGTGCGACTTGGTTGCTGCTTGCTAAGGCTGGTGAGGCACGCTGTTCCGTAGGTGCTAATCGCACGTGGGCAGAGCAAGACCTGTCTCCTTTGTTGTGGTTGGCTTCTTGTGCACCCTTTTGTCAGTTTTCCGTCTGGGGTGGTCGTTTCTTTGGTGGGTATACACGTCATGGACAACGATGATGTGCACCTTCCGGCTGAAATTATCCCTGTACTCACTTGACAATGTGCTCTGCAACTGGGTGAGGATGCTGTTTGGTTGTTCGATGAACTATGGAGCCGGCCTTCGTGGACGGTGTCGTGTGTCATGGATGAAAACCTCGAGCAAGGTGACAAGACGACGCCACTTCCTGAAAAAGACGCAGATGTGCTACTTGGCAATGGTCTGACATAATGATTTTGTCTGTTTGCGATATCATGCCTCAGAATTCCCCTCGATGGTGGGTCATGCAACGCATGGGCGGTGCATGGAAGGACCTAGAGCCTAGAGGTTACCAACGACGCTGAAGATGACTACTATGTCACCCTCTTGCGCATGCGTAGATCTACGTTCAACTGGCTTCTTAGTGCGCTTCGTCCGCATCTGGAGAAACAAACAACGAGGTGTAGGAAGCCATTGCCGTCTGCGCAGGTGCTAGCTTATGCTTTGCACCGGTGGGCGCACGACGACTCTCCTCTCCACAGCACATGGACTTACGGGATGGGGAAAACAAGCAGGCTACGAGCAGTGCATGATGTGTAGAAAGCTATCATACGGTGGTGTTTCAGTGTTGCTGTCGGTTTTGGCACTTACGAAGCACGTCACAGACGGATGCAGAAATTTGCAGCACTCCATTTTCCGAATTGCTGGGGGTGCATCGCTTGCACGCACGTCTTCGTTGACAAGCCGAAGAATAACAGTGGTGACAATTTTCATCATGGGCAGTCACAAACGACGGTTCTCTAATGTGGCGCAGCTGGTGTTTGACATGGACCTGTGTATTCTTTATCCTTTTTACGGTTTTCCGGGCACTGTGGCCAATGGCCGTGTGCTATGGAATTCATCTTTGTGGCGGAGGGACGTGTCGAGGGAACTGTTCACTCCGGATCCTGAAGACCCGACAATGCACTTACGTCCCAAAATTCCAGGAGTCGCTGGGGGGTACCAGCTTGCTGACGGTGGGTACCCTACTGTGGCTTGGTTTGTGGTCCCATACGACCACAACTATGTGGAACCGCACACCAAGATTTTTGACAATCATCACAAAGTTGTTTGTTCTCTTGTGGAGCGGGGTATGGTCTCTTTAAGATGCGGTTTCATATTTCTACAGGCCACACGTTTGCGATTTGAAGATAGAGGGAGACGAGTTCCACGCTGCGTGCATTGTGCACAACTTGCTTCAGGACTGGGGTGATCTTCCTGAGGAATATGTTCAGCCGCCAGATGTTGGCAGCGGTACACAACCTCCACCCAGTCGCGCCATAGCTGGTGAGTTGCGAGTGGTCCGCCATCTTCGGATGCGGGAGCCCGCGGTGCAGGTGCGCGAGGCCTTGTGCAGACACATCAATGCTCGTCTTGCCCAGCGAGTGTGTGTGTGTGTGTGTGTGTGTAAATGCTAATCGCCGAAGCTGTCCCACTACGAATGACACGAGTAGAGAAGGACAATACGCACGCATTGCTATGGTAGTGGCTTCAGAAAGCTCGTGTTGCCAGTTTTTTTTCTTTTTCTTTTTCTTTTCCGAACCTTTTAAGATCTAGAGGCACACACACACACACACACACACACACAGAGAGAGAGAGAGAGAGAGAGAGAGAGAGAGAGAGAGAGAGAGAGAGAGAGAGAGAGAGAGAGAGA